CATAGATGAACCTCAAAGTCATTATGTTGAGTGAAGTAAGTCAATCACAAAAGGACAAACATTGTATTATATTACTTATGTAAAATGATACAAGCTACCATTATGAATGTTTTGATCAAAGATTCAATTGTTGTTGTTGTTATGTGCCGTCGAGTCGGCCCCGACTCATAGCGACCCCTCCTTGGGTTTTCGAGGCAGTATCACTACGGAAGTAGGATTGCCCAATTCAATAGATAGGTACTAATCAAAAGATAGAAATATGTGGAATATAATTTTAAATTCCTCTGGATCATGGAGCTCTGGTCGCATAATGAATAGGGCATTTGACTGCTAAATGAGAAGGTTGCAGATTCATACTCACCATAGTTACTGGATTCATATATTGTCTTGACATAATTTTTAAATCTTGGATTGAAATTACTTTCAATTTGGATTGAAATTATTACTTGAAGTCATCATGAAACCAAACAACAGTTTAGGTCAATGAGTAAAACATATTTACCTTGAGCATTACACTCTTTAAAGAATTATCCATATAAGATCAAATTGACAACAGTAACTTTAAATCATAGAGGAGAAATTTAAGGGGCACTAAAATTAAGTTAAGGAGCTCTGGTGGCATAGTGGATAAGGCATTTAGCTGCTAACCAGGTCAGCAGTTCAAACCCACGAGCCACTTTGCAGAAGGAAGATGGGGCCATCTACTTCCATAAAGATTTTCAGCCTTGGAAACCCAATGGGAGTCACTATGAGTCCTAATTGACTCAATGGTAGTGAGTTCCTTTTTTTTTTGGAAGCTTAAGTTAATAGGCCTGAAATAATTTGGACAGAGATAGCATGAATGATGACACAATATAAAGAATGTAACCAATGTCACTGAATTGTACATATAAAAAAATTAATGTATATGTTTGCTATGTTGCTCTGTGTGTTTGTATATGTGTGTGTGTGTGTGTGTGTGTGTGTGTGAGTTTGGTTTGGATATATATGATGTATTCTGATACCAACTCAGAAACCCAAGGAGGGGTTGCTATGAGTCAGGACATGGGGACTGACTCGATGGCAGTAAGTTTGGTTTGTTTTTTGGTTTTCTGTCTTTTGGTTTGAAAAGGACAAAACTTATTACAAGGAACTCTTTATTTCCAGAAAATTCAAAAAAAACTAGTAGACTTGCAGTGTTACGAAAAGCACTTGAGCAAAAATTATATCCCAATATAAAATTTTCTTGCAATTTACATTAATTTTAAATTATAGCTTTTTAAAGGCTATATATCCACTACTCTTTTAGATAAATTCATATATTTTTAAGCCTTATTATGTATAATAATTTTACTTTATTTGTCCTTTCTGGCAAATCTTCACATTTAAACAATTTTCAATAACATTTCTTGACATAAACACCTTCACATCAATGTCACCCCATCACCACTATGCATGTGTGCGGAGTAGAACTGCTTCATAGGACTTTCAAGGCCAAAATGCCTCTGGATAGGTTGAAATCACCATTTTTTTTTTTTTTTTTTTTTTTTTTGGCTAGTAGCCCAATGCTTAACTGTTTGTGCTACTCAAGGATTCTTGATGTGCTCTTAAGGTCCTACATTCTTTTTGAAATCATCCTGCATTGGTCCTTGCACAAGGTAGGATGTCATAGTTGGGACAAGGGACACGTGGGTAGGCTGATTCAGACTGAAAATATTCAAGTGTCTGAGGGTGGGAGGGTCAAAGGCTGGATGGAGAAGAAAGTAGATGTCCAAAATGTTTGGAGACTAATAATAATTCATAATGTTTCACAGCCAGCCTCTCCATCGATTTTTTTTTTTCTAAGCTAATGACAAAGTTTCTTTTATAACCACAGCACTAAAAGACAAGCTAAATATTCAATGACAGTCATTTAAGCATAAAAAGCTCAAGTCATTCACAGGATCAGCTTTTTTTTTTTTCCTCTTTAAGAAGTTTGTACTATAGGTGTTTATTTTATTATAAAATAGAAGAAATTACTATAATTTCAAAAATAAATCTTCTTTAGGAAGTAATTTTTTTAACACTCTGCTGCTATGCAACGTTTAATAAGTGGTATCATAGATTTTCAGATTTTCAAGAAAAAGGCAAAATCCCATTATTACTAAATAAAAATAAGAATATTGATCAACTGCTTTAAGTAAATGGTATTTTTATGTTAAAGTCAAACATTGTTATAACCAAAAAACTAAACCAAATTCACTGCCATCGAGTGGATTCTGACTCATAGCAACCCCCTTTGGGTTTCCAAGGTGGTGAATCTTTATGGAAGCAGATTGCCCAGTCTTCTTTCCATGCAGTGGCTGGTGGATTTGAACTGCCAACTTTCTGGTTAGCATCAAATGCGTCTGGCATTACCCTACTCTAAATTTAAATAAGGATGTAATTTAATGTTTCTTGTAAAAAATAACTTTTACACTTACAAAGAATAAAAATTCTTAGATGCTTTTAGAAACTTTCTATATGGCCAAACGAAATTTGCTATTTAAAGCTTACCATCAAAAATAAAGCAATAATAGACATTTAGATGTTTAAAAACAAAACTTAAGAGTACTGAGAGCTGATCGAGTGACATTGAAATTAGTGCTAGATATAAAAATTCACTTTATAGAGTCATGGGATATTTGGGGACTTTGGAAGCATAATTGCTATTTCTCAGACATTCCTTTAAAACTACTATCTTAGATATATATGCTAAATCATGATCTCCTTAATAAATTATATTTATTTAGAAATTGACTTTTAATAGTAATTTGAAAAAATCATATTAAGTGGAAGCATTTTTTCTCCCTGATTATAGTCAGTGAAAAGAGCTCTGGTGGTGCAGTGGTTAAAGCATTCAGCTAATAACCAAAAATTCAGAGGTTGGAACCTACCAGCTGCTCCCCGGAAGATAAGGCAGTATGCTCCATAAAGAGTTACAGCCTTGGAAACCTTGTCTGTCAGTTTTACTCTATCCTATAGGGTGACTGGTAGCATAGTGCCTAAGGCACTTGACTGCTAACCAAAAGGCTGGGGGTTCAAACCCACCAGCCACTCCTTGGAAGGAAGGTTGGGCAATCTACTTCTGTAGTGATACTGCCTCCGAAACCCAAGGAGGGGTTGCTATGAGTCGACTCCAACTCGATGGCAAAAATAACAACAGCAGCAACAACAATAGTGTGACTATGAGTCAGAATCGACTGGATGGCCATGGGTTTGGAGAGTCAGTGAGTAATCTACAGGCATTAGAACTTTGGCACATACAAATCACAACCAATAAACTGATGTAGGGGTTCAAAACAATTTACAAAATTAATTTAATAAGAAGCCTAGAAGAGTGGCTAATAATTATTAACAAAACAACAATGAAGCTGTCTATATTTTCATTTAACAACATATTTAAGGCAAAAACTGAATTAATATAAAACTAATAATATGCAATAAACTGATATTTCACATACAATAAAAATTGATGTTCACATTGAAGACCTAAAGTTATAATAACATCACTGTTTGCCTTCTAAATACCTTCATATTTTAATTTCTTGGGTGAGTTGAACATGCTCATTGTGCTGGTTATGACGTTGATTTAAGAATATTTTTCAAAATAGAGCTCTACATTTCTTCTACAATTCCAGATAAAATCATTTAACATATGTATGTTTACAAAAGGCTTGTGGTTACTAACACTAAACCCCAGAGTAGTAGTTTTTGTCTTTTTAATTTCCAGTACTAATTGTGGTTCTTAATGATATCTATACTTGATATTCTAATTCTCATGCTGTTCCAGAAACAGGCAATATATTTATTTGAAAGTTTCTAATTCATTCCTAAAGTTTACATTATGAGGAAAAGTTTGATCATTAAAACATATTCTATTTATATGTGTCAAGTTTGAGTCCACTACTTTTCGGAGAACAAGCTCAGACTCTAATGTTAAAAAATTTGTGGTTTAACTTCTAAATTTACACTCTGACTTCAGAAGGCTACATAACCTCTTTGAGCCTCAGTTCTTGAACTACAAAATAAAAGGACCACAGCCTTCAAAGTGTAGCATGAAGTGTAAAAAGGGCTAGTGCACATGCCTAACACGGAGTCTAGTCCACTACAGGTATTCAGTAAATTTCCATTTCTCCTCTCTTCCCCATTTCTAGTATATTTTGGCTAATGGAGTTGAATGAAAAACTATAGAATTTACTAGAATAAATTAGCTTAGTGAAAGAACTCATCTAAACTATAAGCAAGAGTTATACATTTTCAAAATAACATTCAATAAGATCAAATGGTTAGTTTTAAAAATGTATTTACATTTTATAACTCATATTCAAAAAAGGATATGCAGGGCAACAATGACAGAAAAACAAATAAGCTACATATCTGTGTGTAGTTTAATTTGTAAACATGAAGAGAAACACCCAGTTTTATTAAATGCTGCTGCATGTTCATGGACAAATAACAGAAACAGAAACAAAGCTACTTCCTATAGCAATCGACATCACCATCAAAACATACCAAATGTATCATCGTGTTTTTGTAAAGGAAATAATCTTTTATTTAATGTAGTTGATAATAATTAGACGTTCTCATTATTCATCCATGAACTCTAAGAAAGATGCTACTTCAAACAGGATTCTAGTAGAACTTGGCACATAAATTTTAGCTTTTCAACCGCCCACTACTTTTCCTCATATAGCTTCATTCACTCAGACAATCTTACATACATATACATTAATGTTAAAAACACACCTGGCTTTAAAGCAGAAAATTCATCCTAAAATCACATTTTCTACAACAGATGCAGGTCATCATATTTCTATCTGATGTTCTCAGTCAAAAGAAGGATCTTTTTGATCATGTGCAATAATTCTAAGGCATTATAAGTAGTTGTTCCACAGGACAAGTGCTGCCATTGCAACAATATAATCTTAATACATTTCACAAATGCTTTTTCTTCAAATGTCACCAGCCAGACATAGGGAGACATTCATAGTCTACAATTTGTTGGCTCAAAGGTCAAAAACATTACTTAAAAAAAAAAAATGTTTATGGAATAGCACCATAGAAAGTCATTCAGAACCAAATTCTTTTTCCAGCATTACATTTTTTAAAACTGAATTCCAGGAAGACAAAAAAAAGTTATTTCAGTTCTGACAAGTTCCACTTCTGCTTTTTTTTTTTTTTTTTTAAATATTACATTAACAATGACAACATCAACAATAATAACTACAACAACAACAGATGCACAAAATTGGCAAAAGAAAGACAATAGCAGCTGTGGTAATTTGAGTATGAACTATCCAGGCAGTCATTTAGAAGAAGAATCCTACACACAACTCTTGAAAGTTTCCTCATAAATTTCATAAGACATCACAAGATTCCTTGGATTCTGTGTGAGAAGGCAGCACTTCCACAGAAAGAATTAAGTTTACCAATCAACTGGGCATTTCAAGATACGTAAGTAAATGATGTCTGGAGTTTAACTGCAATAATAGATACTATTGACATTTCAAAATTGTCAAAGTGTCAGTAAATGAAGTGGCTTTGAGATTGTTTGTGTTTCAAAGAGGGTAAGCTAGCCTGCAAGTGAAAATAATGAAGCTGAATCATTCCAGTTTCCAAACATCAAACACACACCACATATTTAAAGTACAAACCACCTCAAAAGACTTCCATTTCACATCACCTCATATGGAGCCGTTTTGCATTGTATCTTAGATACAGTGTCAAAGCAATGATATTAAGATATGAGAAGGGAGTTTTCCAGTTTGTGACCTACAAGATCATTTTATTTCCCAAAATTTTGGAAAATTGTCAAAAAGTACACTCCGCAGGGTCACAGCCCCTGAAGATATGTCTGAATTGTGAGGCCTCTACATCAAGCTGCGCACAAAAGCTTTTAGAGTCTTCATTGAAGTATGTGATGTCCTTTTGTTGTATTTATTAATCCCATTAAGAAAGGAGTTCAAATATCCTTGTAATGCTGATCTGGGTTATGCAGAAAGTCTCTTTTAGTTCATAGATAATTCTAATTTTGCAGTTTTCTTGTGTTCAATCTCATTATATAAAACATTTGTGCTAATATCTTCAGTTTAAAAAAATACATCTTCTCTCCATTATGTGCATTCTTGTATGTTCCAATGAAGGTTTTGCTGTTATTTTTTGGTATGAATCGTATCTGGATATATTATGCTTTTGTATCTTACATGAAATCCTTTTTTGTTGATTGTATCATCAGTATGAAAATGAATTAAAACTGCATCACCAATTGAATATATCTCTTCTGGTGGCTGGAGACAAAAATAAATAAATAAATAAGCAAATGAGCAAACAATGGAGCAAGTCACCTTTTCTTCAGTGTAATTATGTTTGGCAATACTTATTTTATTATATAATTAAGTCCTCCCAACAACCATGCAAAGCAGATGTAACTGATGTGTTCATTTTACAGAAGGAAAACATGAATTTCAGAGAAGCGAATGAAATATTTAAGAACACATAGCTAGTCAGGGATATACTGAGCTTTGAACACATTTCAATCTGTTTTCAAGTTCTGGCTACTATCCTCTCTAGAACTTTTTTGTTTTGTTTTTATTCCTCAAAATTGCAGCCACGTTCATTTGGCTTACAAATAAATAAATTGAAGTTCAGATAGGCCAAAGAGACATCAAATTTGTTGTAGAAGCTGCTCTGAGGCAGAGAAACATTCAGAATACAAATCTTCTATATATTTTTTTTGTTTTAATATTAAGCACCAAGAAGATTTTTTTTGTTTCTTTTTAATTGCTACTTGGACAAGAGTTCAACTGTATTATTTAAGAAACACATTCCAATAATGAGACTAATGCATTCAGAACAAATTATGTATCCAGAAGACTCCAATAAAAACAATACCAAGCTCATTGCCATCAAGTCAATTTGACTCATAGTGACCCCTCCTTGGGTTTTCAAGGTGGTATTTCTATGGAAGTAGTTTGCCCAATCATCCTTCTGAGGAGTGGCTGGTGGGTTTGAACCGCCAGCTTCTGGTTAGCAGTCAAACGCCTCAGGCACTATTCCACCAGAGCTCCGGGAGAGCTGGAGAGATGGGGGTGGGGTGGAATATTGAGAAAACCTTTTTCTTTTTTTTTTTTTTTTTCATTTCTCAGGGCAACGTCTTCTGGCCTGTTTCTGACACTCCATATGCTGCACAAAAGACAGTGTTTGTAATGGGACGACACTCTTGCAGGGATGGCTCGGCCCGCATACTAGTGGTTGACCCTACCACTCTCACCAGATGTTTGTTGGGTAGAGGGTAAGCCAATTTGAGTTTTATTCTTTCATTCTTTAATTTAGAAAAGTGACACAATTGCCAATGGTGTGTGTTTAAGTATATTGCTTACAGATTATTAAATATTTATTTCTGTGAAATAAAACATGAATAAAAATGTTAAAACATGGGAAGTAATAAGAAATTATAACTACTGATTTGATCTGCCTCATTTGGGATTAAGCAGAAAATTCATTAGAGTTGGGGAAGTGATAAGGGAGGAAGATAACTGTTGCAAATTGTTTTGGCACTAGCAATATGATGTAACTCTTTTTGAAAAAGCAATACCAATTTTTATATGTTATACATATCAATCCTGAATCATAGGTTTATCAAGTCTATGGTATCCTATTGCTACTATATTTACCCCTGATCCACAGAATCGACCAAGTCCCACAGCTGTTGAGTCGAGACCGTCAAAGAGCTCCACATAGTCATAACCACAGTCAGCTTCTTCTTCCACTTCAAAGGTCTGGAAGGACAATTCGAGTCGAGAGCCTCGTTCTGACACTAGTAGCCATTCACAGTCCACCTGTCCTGGATAATTGTTATCACCAAATTGAGCATGTGAGTACAGATCTTGGGGTTTTGATTCAGCTTTCAATCGGCCACCACATTCTGCCCAGGATAGAAAATGAAGCAAGTAAGCTTGATGAGCATTAACAGGTCCAGTTTATTGTGCCCCATCTATCTTCTAATGTCTATTTTCATTTCCCTCACAAGACACATTTTCTATAATTGAAGAATCAAATAGTGTAATGGGTATTTTCACAGGCCTTGGACTCAGACTGCCTAGGCCAAAACCTCAACTCTAACACTTACTAGTTGGAAGGCTTTGAGTAAGTGACTTCACCTCTGTGGTCCATAGTTTGCTCAAGTGTAAAATGTAGATGATAATAATAGTAGCTATCTAAGTGAGTTTTGAGGACTTAATGCCTGAAGATCACTTAGAATAGTGTCTGGCACACAGTAATGTTCAATAAATATTCTATTATTTTTATACCTGACTTTTTATTCTCATAAGTGCTATTTTAATGGAGGATAAGTCAAGTTCTTACCTTGAGCTTACTATCAATAATCAATGAACACAGAATGCAAAGGAATAATAAATAGTTTAAAATTAAAATTAATAAAACTTCTTTGTGTATATGTATGTGTTTTCATTTTGCCTCACAGTGACCCCCTTGGGTTTCCAGGGAAGTAAATATTTATGGAAGTAGATTGCCCCATCTTCCTTCTGCAGGGCAGCTTAAGGGTTTGAACTGCTGACCTTCAGGTTAGCAGTCAAGTGCCTGAGGCACTGAACCACCAGAGAATCTATTGTATTATATAGAACTCTTTAAATATATAATATATAGAACAGTATTACTTTTCTTAAGTAATAATATTTAACTTGAGGTAGCAAAAATGTACACACATCAGTAATTAGAATTATCTTTATAATTCTACAACTTGTTAAGTTATATTTTGAATGCCTGTCCCAGTAACATAATTAATTAATTAATGCTTTTTAAAATACTTTTTCAAGACAGATATTTAAAACTTATTTATAATTAGTGTAAAAATTTTCCACGAATTTTTTATAGTTTGAAACTCAAACCTTTCCTAACAGCTACAGATTAAACAAAAATAGAAGTCTACAATGTCCCACTAACAAATATATGTGCAAACATACAAGAGAGAGAAAGATCAAATGGGACGTGAGAAAGTAGGTGAGGGAGAGAGCAGGGTGAACAGCTGTCTTGGGACGCCAGGGAACGAAGGATTTTCTGTGAAGCAAGATGTTCAGTACTGAAATAACAGAAGTCCTGGGAAATCTGGGATGAATCAGAAGGGGACAAAAACCCAATATGAAATCATGTAGACAGCTAAATAACTGGATATAAAACACAATTGTGACACTGTCATCATCGTCTGTGATAAGGTCCTCAGCTGCTCCCTATGAGAATAAAAATTAGGCAACTGAAGTTCTTCCTATTTGGATTTTTCTACTGATTTGTATATGGTTTACACAAGCTGTGGTTTGTTGATTTTAAATATTAAATGTTTCTGAATTCTCAGATATGGGACACCATTCAAGTGTGTCTGTATACATGCTGGAGCTGTCATAGACAACTTCACTTTGAGCAACCTTTCTGTTACTGTTGTTAGATGCCATTGAGTCAGCTCCAACTCATAGCAACTCTATGTACAAGAGAACGAAACACTGTCCAATCCTGTGCCAGCCTCATGATCCTTTCTATATCTGAGCCCATCGTTGCAGCCACTGTGTCAATCCACCTTGTTGAGGACCTTCCCCTTTTTCATTGACCCTCCACTTAACCAAGCATGATATCCTTCTCCAAGGAATGGTCTCTTCTGACAACATGATCAAAGTAGGTGAGATGATGTCTGGCCATTCTCACTTCCAAGGAGCATTCCAGCTGCACTTCTTCCAGGACAGATTTGTTAGTTCTTTTGGCAGTTGGTGGTACTTAAAATATTTTTCACCAACACCACAACTCAAAAGCATCAACTCTTCTTTCCTTATTCATTATCTAGCTCTCACATGCATATGAGGTGATTGAAAATACCATGGCTTGGGTTAGGTATACCTTAGTCTTCAAAGAGACATCTTTGCTTTTCAGTACTTGAAAGAGGTCTTTTGCAGCAGATTTGCCCAGTGCAGTATGTCACCTGATGTCTTGACTGCTTCCATTGGTTTTAATTGTGGAACCAAGTAATATGAAATCTTTAACAATTTCAATATTTTCTCTATTTATTGTGATGCTGCTTGTTGATCCAGCTGTGAGGATTTTTATTTCCTTTATGTTGAGATGTAATCCAGATTGTAGACTGAAGTCTTTAATGGTCATCAGTAAGTGCTTCAAGTCATCCTCACTTTCAGCAAGCAAAGTTGTGTTGTCTGCATATCGCAGGTTGTTAATGAGTCTTCCTCCAAATCTGATGCCACGTTCTTCTTCATATAATCCCGTTTCTCAAATTATTTGCTCAGCATACAAACTGAATAAGTGTGGCAAAAGGATATAACCCTGACACACTACCTTCCTGATTTTAAATCATTCAGTATCCCCCTGTGCTGCTTGAATGAGGACTCCTGATTTACATACAGGTTCCTGATGAGCACAGTCAAGTGCTCTGGCATTCCCATTCTTCTCAATGCTATCCATAATTTGTTATGATCCACACAATTGAATGCTTTTGCATAGTCAATAAAACACAAGTTAATATATTTCTGGTATTCTTTGCTTTGAGCCAATATACATCTGACATCACCAATGACATCCCTTGTTCCACATCCTCTTCTAAATCCAACTTGCATTTCTAGAAGTTCTCTATCAATATACTGCTGCAACCATTTTTTTAATTATCTTCAGCAAAATTTCACTTGCATGTGATATTAATGATAGTGTTCTATAATTTTTATATTCTGTGAGATCACTTTTCTTCAGAATGGGTACAAATATGGATCTTTTCCAGTCAGTTGGCCAGATAGCTGTCTTCCAAATTTCTGAGCATAGACAAGTGAGTGCCTCCAGTGCGGCATCTGTTTGATGAAACATCTCAATGCGTATTCTCCATCACTTCCTGAAGCCTTGTTCTTTGCCAATTCCTTCAGTGCAGCTTTGACTTCTTTCTTCAGTATCATTGGTTCTTGATCATATCCACCTCCCAAAATGGAAGAACATTGACCAATTCTTTTTGGTACAGTGACTCTGTGTATTCTTTCCATCTTTTTTGATGTTTCCTGAATCATTCAATATTTTTTCCTTAGAATTTTTCAATATTGAAACTCGAGGCTTACATTTTTTCTTCAGTTCTTTCACCTTGAGGAATGCCGAGCATATTCTTCCCTTTTGTTTTTCTAACTTCAGGTCTTCGCACATTTCATTATAATAATTGACTTTGTCTTCTCAAGTTGCTCTTTGAAATCTTCTGTTCAGCATTTTTTTTATATAATTTTTATTGTGATTTGGGTGAAAGTTTACAGAGCAAATTCACTTTCCATACAGCAGCTAACACACACCTTGTCTCATGACACTGACTATAATTTCCCACAATGCAACAGCTTCCTTCCCACCTCCTCTCCATAGTTACCTCTTCTCTGTGTCCTTTCCCCCTGTGCACTCCCACCACTCAAGCTGTTGCCCTGCACATACACAGCCTTTCTATTCTCCCATGATTGATCTCTCCAAGGAGTGTATCTACCTAATGTAAATGTTCACCTCATATATCTGTCTTTTGTTTGGCTGGAAGCCACAGGAGTGAGTTCAATTCCAGACCTGAAGGGCAGCTAGGGCCACAGGGTTGGTGGCTCCATC